ATCTTATAATGTCAGCGGTGTACGAAACAATTCCAAAACAGAGCTGTTATTAAGGCTAAGCAGTACTTAAGGCTAAGCAGTACTTAAGCAGTACTTGTTATTAAGGCTAAGCAGTACTTACTGAAACAATTATGTCTAAGCTCCTTTTGACAAAGGCTTGGGAGTTCATTGAATATACAAAGGAACTTACGGTCTCAAAAAACAGCAATTAACTAGTGATGATCAGTTTGAGTTTTTGGACGTTACCAAACGCCGTAGAAATCTATTGCAGATGCAAAGAGATTCAAAGCTGAACTGTCTGTTTTGAGGAGTAGTGTTTTTATATCTGAAGACGTTTATAAGCAATCTCGCTCCACTGGTGGTCAAGTTGCTCGAATGTATGGTCTGGTTAAAGTTCGCAAAAATATCACACCATTGAGACCTTAAGTGTCTACACCTGGCTCTCGTTATCAAAATTTAACTGAAACATACAGACCAGAAGTGAAACTATTGCCAGCGAATTATCTGATTTTTGTTTGTGTGCAGAAGAGCAATTGGTTACGTTTGAGGTACAAGTCTCCATACGGTGGTCCCGGTTACTGAAACAAAAAAAACGTTGAGAGCCAAGATTTATGACCCAAAAACCTCTCCTGAGTGACATTTGAATGATTCATGGCTTCATGAACTCGAAATTTCGGTTTTTGAGCCCATGTGATCAAAATTTCTGCCTGCACGAGGGCGTTGATATGGGTTTGCTATCGGGACCTTACCTTGCTAACACATTTATGTCACAGTTCGTTGACGTGATTACCGAGGGAAGAACTTTTCACTATCGCTATATGGATGATATTCTTACTTCCATCAATTTATCTGACACAGAATGAGTTCTCAATTATCTTAACAGCCTAATGAGAAACCTAATATTTACTTGTGAATATAAGTCTTCTTGCAGTCTACCTTTTTTTAGATTTTTAAGCGCAGAGATCTGATACCAGCTTAACCGCTACTTGGTACCATAAACTTAGCCACTGAATTGTGTATGATCTTCCACGCTGTTTCTTCTACGAGGTATAAACGTTTAATCGTAGCAGGCATGGTGTACAGGGTGTATGGATGATGGTCATCCTGGTCCTTATTTATTGGTTGTTTGAAAATAGGAATGTCTATACTTAGGAGTAGAACCAGCTTTTTATAACTCGGGCATTTTATCCTCCGGCCTTATAACTCCGGCATAACAGTATCCTCCGGCATTTTATAGCTCTAATGTTAGACAAACACTTATCGATAATATAACTGCTGATCATGATAAAATTGTCTTGTAAATCAAAGAAAATTGATGGCAAATTTTTGTCTTTATTCAGTTTTGTGGCTCCGTTACCGACAATTTTTGACATTCCAGACGTTGACATTCCAGTACAATTTATTCTTCTTACTAAAAAATTACCTCAAAATGTGTCTGCGCTTAAGAAGCCTGTTCCTTTTTCGTTCCAAAGTCATGTCGTGTTTAAAACTTCTCTGCATGTCGCGCTAATTGTACGCCATCTTACAACTCGTCTTCAGGAACAAAGTTACAAGGTGCTCAAGTTCGACAACATTTATATGCTTGTAATATCTCAAAATCAACAATTCCTTTAAGCGCAAAAATTATTGAAAGCAGCAACTGTCTATCAATTCTTCTATTATTGGAAGCTCTGAGTATTTCTCACTTACGACCATCCATCAATACTCGCGACAAATTCAAATCGAAGGATTTGTTAGTTAGATTTCCTCGACCCAAATGAAGACGCGCGTAGTTCAGTAATGTTCCAACTTCGTTCTCGCATTCCCAAAACTTTTAGAAAAAAAATTCCTGGAGCTATCAGTGTGTGTATTTTTATTGCTTTTTTGCAGTGTTCTTTTGTTCTTCAGATATGTCCTGATGATGAGTTTTCTTACTCAAAATGCATTGAGATTTTACGTGTTTTCGTTCTCATGAATCCAAAAGAACTTAATTTTGTTTTCGTTTTTGCTTTGTTGTATGTTGTTTAGTTTCTTGTTCAAAAAATTTTTGCTTAATCATACTTTTGCAGAAAAAGTGCAACAAGCTGACTAAACAATTTTACACCGAAAAGCAATCGATTATAATCAAAACAGCGTACCAATAGAAAAAAACTCAAAGTAGTCATAATAGGGGTCAACTGACTATTTTCAAGGATGAATTGGCTCAAAGTGTCAACTGAATATTTTTCTTGAGAGCAAAAAACACTAATTAAAATGGTTCGATTAATCTAATTGGGTCTTTTGTTTAACAATTTTATTTTAAAAAAATCTTCTTGAAGAAAAATATCTGAGTTTGAAGTGCCCGAGTGAACAACTCAGCATCAAAATTGAACACGAGAAACGCCAGCTTTCAAGTTAATTAACCTGAGTTTAGAGAGTATAACAAGATGAAAAAAAACTTTCAGTTTTTTCCACTTTTCTTTTACCGCTGAATATCCAGCCTCTTCAAGTACAACGGAAAGATAACAAATGTTAGAATAAGCCTCACCCAATTTTTATTGACACTGAATCTTATTACTCTTTGTTCTGATTTTTGTTACGGTTTTTTTCCTTCAGGCAAATTTCGACTTTTCATCTAGCAATTTTTCACGGAATTTTTTATGCCATTCAAAAGCTATTGTTGTCCTGAGCTTATTATTGACCAGATATTTCACTATCATATCGTTTTTCATGATGTTAAGCGTTTAAAGAAAGCCATTTTGGCCAATTAAGGACGTTAAACGCGCGATATATTTCGCACTGTTAACGCGTAAGCGGAGATTTAATCTTCTTAGAAATTATTCCAAATTGGTTTAAGGAAGCTTGTTTGCCATAACTGTTTGCCATAACTGTATTAGGAGCGAAACCTATCACTTTGTACTTTATATGGCTTGTGGGAGGATGATTTTTGCAACAATCTCAAAATTAAAAAAAAATCATTTTCAGTTTTTTTAAATTGAATTCTTCATGTTGTTACTGCTCCATAGACTTTAGAAAGCAGTCGGAACATACAGGGCCTCGCCCTGATACCAGCAGTATTGCTCATTGTTTAATTGCGCAGTAGTTTTGCAGATACAACTGTAACATAAAACATAAAACTCCAGCATCAATTTGTTCTGGAGGGCATAAAACAAGAGCCTAATTTTACAATTTAAAATAAATAACTGGTCGGGTTCTGTTCCTTTTTCAGGGTTGGATTCTTTGAAAAAAAACCCAAAACAATTTTTAAACTGTTTTATGAACGAGAAAAGTTTGAAGTATTTCAATTTAGTCAATCTGATAAGAGTAGTTTTCTTGCATCAAAAAAGTGTTGCTTTTAATTTTCGAAACCCAAATAAATGAAAGAATTAGTTTTATGCAAACATGACCGATAAGTTTTTTTTGCGCGGTTACTTCGTGTGCTTATTCAGTACCGTCAAAAAATCAAAGTATCAGTCAATTACATTTAGGGTTTCTATTAACAAGACTAATCGTATCAGGACGTAGCCTTTTTGTTCCGACTGCCTTTTTTTGGAATTTGAGATTTTGAAATGTGGGATTTCTTGCAAAAAACATCCCCTCACACGCCATAAAAAGTTCAAAGTAAACTTTTCCGCTCCTAGTATCAGTTAATTTATGGCAAATAAGTTTCGTTGAACAATTTGGAACAATTTCTAAGACGTATTGAATCTCCGCTTATGCATTAATTGCGCAAAATATATCGCACATCAATTGTCACTAATAGGCCAAATTGGCAAGTTTTAAACCACCATATTTTTTAAACAAGACTGCTCGTAATTCGGGGCAAAGCCTTGAATGTTCCGACTGTTCCTTAAGTTTTTTCAAATAGTTTTTGAGAAAAGAAATTCATGAAAACCTATACATTTTGGATATTATCAAAGTGCAGTATTTTGAGTCGTGCGAAATGATTACCACCGATTAGCTAGCCTAAAATCTAGAATGGTTTTATTGTGCAGGATAAATCGCGACGCACGAATAATTCGCGATCTGAATAATTTCTCAGCATTCTGAATAAAATCTTCAAAGCTAGCATAATTTTCAAACCCCCAGACCTTTACAAAAATTAATCGGAGAAGAAATAGCTTTTTAAATGTGAACTCAGAAAGTCGATATATTCAATGGGTCTTTACGAGGCCAAACTGTGCACTGAATAGGAGCACAATTTTGTGTCTGTAAGTTCCTGGATTCCAGAGAAAAGTCTTCAAACAAGTTCCCAATTGTAAGTGGATTCCACTTACAAAATTTCTGTGGAATCCGCGTAGAAATAATTGTACCGTAAGTTTTGTCGGCACATTGACTTTGTTGCGGATTCTGCAACAAGCATATATTGGTAGTTGTTCCAGATTCCGCAAATGTAAATAGGTTCAACAAATTTATGTGGATTTCGCTAACATTTTGCGGATTTCGCTTACAATTTGCGGATTCCGCAACAGCTCAAGTTTACTAAATACATATACAATTAGTTTTTCATGTCAAGAATTCCACTAACTGGTTCTGGATTCCACAATTTTCGTTGCGGATTCCACAACATGGCCTAATATTTGAGCGACTTTGAGCAATAGAGTGTTTTAGCTGTTTGTCCATGGAATTCAAATCAGCAGAGAAGATCAAAGAAAAATTGCAATGTTTCGGATTCCGCGACAAAGATGATTTTCGCCTGTTGCGGAATCCGCATACAGTTCACAAAATGCTCAGTTTGGCCTCGTGATGGTCTAAAAAGTTTTGTTGAAAAATGTTAGTTCTATCGATGAAAATTGACTGAACAAAAAAAACCATACCGAGCGTAAATTTTATTTTTATTTGAAAGTCGGAAAAAAAAGATCACAGGTGAAAAATCTTTTCAAACTTAAGCTCAGGAATACAATACCCAATGAATTAATTTTAAAAAAATCCGTCAAAGAATGCTAGTTAAAAAGTCTGAAGAAAAAAAACTGACCCCGAGCACAAATAGTTCGTTACTTTCATTATGAAAGTCGGAAAAAAATATCTGTAAGCAATCTCACCTATTTTTGTTCCCATTTGCAAACCAGCGATGCTGTTACGATCAATTGTAGAAGTTTGTTTTGGTTCACGTTGATTATTGTAAAGATACCCCACCCACACTAGATCAAGAGGCCTGGCGACTCCGTACGAGTAACCCTCCAAATCGAAGCGATACATCACTAAGCACGAGACATTCAGAGGTGTGCGTATCTGATAATACCTAGGAATGATCAAAAGCATCATACCAAAAAATACACTGAAGACAAAATATCAAATCAAACTGTTTCAATTTGAGTTGTTAGGGCGGTGTAAATAGGGCGGGTTGAGTTGTTAGGGCGGGGTTAATTTATCAGAAAAAAGCAAAACTCCTGTGGCGACAATCAAAAACCTGAAGAGCTTCCTTTCAAAACCTTATTCAGCATTTAGGTGTTTTTCAAAGATATTTAAGCATTTAAAATTATGTAGCGTTTTGATGGAATAAATAAATTCGGACATCATGATTTAGATTAGTATTGAGAAAATTTTGACCAAATACATCATTTTCTTTATGTGTTAACTTCCTCGCAGCTCAACCAGCGCTGACTTATATCTGGTCTACATGAGTGTTTTCAAAATTACTCGAAAAAGTAAGTTTTTACCACCGAAGTTCTTTATTCTAAGAGTCATTAAAATTTGGAAATTTTAATTTGAATTTATCGAATTATTCACAACAAAATACGTTAAAAAAATAAGTTTTACCTTTCCGCCCTTTCTTGTCCGGTGACTTGTGGATCCTGCAATTCCTGCGCTTGCGCGGCGTGAGAGATTTCGAAGACCTTGGTAGATTCTGTGAAAGCGTCTGAGTTCGGAAAATATTCCGGTTCGATAAGTGCCTAAAGCTAAATCAGATCAGTTCTCATACTTAGCATACGATCACCAGCGGATTTATGGGGCGACGCCCCTCCCTCAGGGATTCGACCTCATCCCGACCCAAAGGGTCCCCCCTTTGTACTATTTTGAGATATCCATTTTCGGCTGATATACCCTAAAACGTCTCTAAAGACGCCATTGGCGCCATACTATACAAATTTTGAGGGGTGAGCGTGCGCCGAAAAAACGAGACTTTTTGGTCATTATTTTTCAAAAAAGGCCTAAAACGCCTTTTCGGTCTGTTTTTTCCAAAATTAATAGCGGCGCGGAAAATTTGCTCAAAATAGGGGTGTTTGTATTTGGGAGAATTCAATAATCAATTTGGTCGACATAAAATAATTTTTTCGAAATTTTAGAAAATCCTAGATCCGCCCCTGCGTACGATGCTGATAAAAACTACTTGAAAATAGGTTCTGCAAATTTTTTTCATTGATACAACTGTATCAAACCTACAAAAAATTAATTGAGCCATCCAACGGTTGATCTAGGATCGAGGTGGGGGGAGGGGCAGATTTTCAAATTATTTTTGAAAATTTTGTCGATCTTTTTCAAGGTCGAGCAAGTTGAATTTCCGAGCTCTCCCAAAATTGTAAAAGACTTTTCATCGGTCAAATTTTCTGCGCCGCAAAACACAGGAACACAGGCCAAAAAGCAGTTTAAGCTTTATTTGGAAAAATTTGAACAAAAATGGCGTTGTTTCGGCGCGAGAAACCCACTTAAAATTAGTATAAATTGGCGCCGAAGGCACCTTTAGAAACTCTTTAGAGTCCGTCAGCCAAAAATGGATATCTCAAAATAGTCTAAAGGGGGACCCTTTAGGTTTGAAGGGGTCGAATCCCTAAGAGCGAAGGCGTCCAATTATCGCTTCACCCCCTAAATCCGTCCCTGGAACCACGTGCTAAAAACTGCATCGTTTTACTATACTACTGTGATGGAAAGAAAGAAAGAAAAGAAAGGAAGAATTTATTTTTTCGTTATTGTAAGTACAGATACAAAAGTAAATTATAACCATTTGTTAGGAAACTCAAACTCAATGATTTGCAAGAAACCAGAATGGAGTTGATTGACTAAAGGCACAATACGCACCACCTATCGAGAGTCTGAAATATGGTCTCTAACTTTTATTTGATATCTTGCTAAATTATGCAAATTGCGATAACACAGAATACTGCTAAATTAGCATTGATTATTGCCGCAAGGACAACAAGGCTGACCATTACTCTTGTTTCAATTCTAACCAGATATATTCTGAACACGCTTCAAAATAGTATACCAAAATGGACACAAAGCGGCAAAAAAAAACCATGTTTTTGATTGAAACAACAGTTTCTAAAGACTCAGGACTTTGCCACCTCAGAGTGTTGCAGAAATTTAAAAAAAACACTTGACATATAAAATATCATCACGATGAGGACGCATCAATCATGAGACCAGTGAGTCTTATTTAAAAAGACGAGTCATCACTAATGCAGATTTGGGTTTTTCAGCGCTGATTTGTCGACGTTCAAGACCTGATCATGGATTACGTCATATTGATGAGCGCTTCAATAAATGATCAAACAGACAGATTGTTTTTGGAACAGCGATGGCTATAAATGGGGTTCAGCCCGAGCGATTTTTTGTAATTACAGAAACCTAACTAACACGCCTAAAGTGACTATTGCGCAGACATTTTCATCATCTTTTATCATATTTTTTAAGAAGAAATTTAATCTGTGTTGAAGGCAGTCAAACTTTAGTGTTTCGCTTTGGTACGAACAGTCTTGTTCGCTTATGAAAAAAAAATGTTTTTATACGATAGACAGACAAGGGTTGAAAGAAAGGTAAAACATTGCCCCTCAGGGTCTCACAGCCTTGAACACTTACAGAGCCATCTTAATGATTTTAACAAAATCCAATTTAATTGAAAAACCCTAAATTTATTCATGGAATACGTTTGGCACCAAAATCAGTGAATTCGAGGGCTGACAAAAAACTCAAGAACGACTTTGTTTTGGATTAAAGCCTTCAAAAAAGGCCCAAGAAACGATATCCTATACGAAAACCAAAAATGACATCAAAAAATTTTTTCAACAGAGAACAGTTTAGAGTACCTTAGCGTCCAAACTACATGAATACATCCTGAGAAACGTGTACGATGACTCCGGCAGCTCAACGGAGGAATTTCATGTTTGGTGCAATCTTGAAATTATCTTCAAAATTCTTCAAAATGTTTTGGAGCATTGAGTTGTGACGGAAGGTCTAACTCATAGAGTAATTTCAGATAGGGTACACCGTCTGCTCGTCACGCTATCTTGTTTTCGGCCGGATAGACTCGTGCAACTTCTTATTCTAATACCGATCTCAATCTTATTCTTATATCTCGTAGTCTCAATAGATCTAGAGTATACTGGTTTGTTACGAGTTGGTCTCCTGGAAAAAGCAACTAAGCTATAAGTTAAATTCAGAATGCTCTGGTGCTTAAACTACAAGTAGTCTCAGCACATACAAATAAGCAGGTTGTATGTTAGATGGAGTATGATTGGTTAGTCTTCAATATTTTATAGGGATAAAATATCTAATTTATAACCAATAATAATATACAGTTTGGATCAGGTTCCACCCATCGGGGGTTTACAGAGTTTTTGTTTCTTTGACGTATTTCTGTAGTGGAGGATGGATGATTGATCGTTCGTGTTTCGCGAGCATCAATTCTTTTCCCTTCTTGGAGGAGGAAGCTCCAGGAAACTGGAATCGTAGATTTCATCTTGTGCTTCAACGATGACTGAGATCGTTAACAAAATCAATCTGATTTCAAGATGGTTTGTTATGATCGTCTGTTCTTGATCGGTTGTGGAGAATTATGTTTCGATCTGAAATGGGAATGGCGTGAAGCTCGAGTTTGGAGGGAATACCCTGTAACTCGGATCTGTACGTATACTTGAGCATCGAGGTGGTCATTGGTCTGTTTCAATGAAGTCCTTTGCTTCAGAGTCAAGTCGTACTTAAAATCCGGCATATAGGTTGTGCTCGGCCATTCTGTAGGTTGTGTTGTGATGAGGTCGTCTTAGCTGCTTGATGCTCGTCTTCGTGATTGTGCATAATCTATATTACTGCAATACATATTTTACATAAATAAATGTTTAGTTAGTCTTTCTTTTAGTTATGATTTTTTATTAGTTTTTATCGCAAAAGCTTTTATTTTTTAATCAGTTATTTTAAAAGAGTTACTCACACTTGAGTACCTGTTATCAAAAATAAGGAGTGTGGTCACAAAGCGTGTGTTATAGCACGGTGGGTTAGGCCGGCTATTAAGCATGCTCAGGAACCCTCTTCTGGTGGGTTAGGCCAAGAGTGAGGGTATGATTTCCTGCTGGTTTTTTTGGGGTCCTGTTCTGTGTTAACCTTTTGTGTCGTGTTTGTTTCTAGTTTTTTTCCTTTTGTTATTTTAGATGTGTGTTTTTCTCGAAAATCAAATTGTTTGGTTTGGGTTTGTCTTTCGACTTTTTGGTGTTTTATGCTTTCTTTTTTAGACTTATCATTAGTCTTCAAAAGAATAAATTATCGGTTCTTTAAGCTGATTTAATCCAGTTTGGGTACTGTGGGTTTTCATTCTGTTAGTTTGTGTGTTACTGTGGGTTTTCATTCAGTCTTGCTGTTAGTTTGTGTTTTATGGTGTTTAGTAAGCTGCGTTGGTTAGTTCGGATTATTTTATAATTCCTTTCCAGCTGGATTAAAAGAAAGTTTGAAATTTGTTATTATTAGTTTGAGTTGTTATCAGTGAGAGTTGAAACTTGAAATCAATATTTTAAACAATTCGTCGTGGGCGAGCTGTGCGAGTGTGGATAGAATTTGTGTGCGATTGATTCTTAAAAAGGTTAGTACTGCTAACATTTCTATAAATTTACTGCTGAAAATTTTAAATTTACCGCATTGTGGGGACTGAAATTATTAAATTATTATTTCCAGTGTATTCAGATTTACCACATTGGGGAAAAGAATTTATAGATGAATTTACTGCTGTGGAGAAGAAATTTACTGCATCATTTATTGCTGTTAGTTAATAAAAATTTATGATTAATAAAAGAGTTTGGTATTTGAAAAGTTTATAATGTATAAAAGAGTTTGCAATTTTTATTTATGTTTTCTGTTTTCTTGTTTGTAGATGATGGTGATCTAAAGACTAATGAAGAAACATTTATTAAGAAATGGTTAGTTTGTTTTAAATTTATTAGTTATAAATTTATCAATTCATCTTAACCTATGCATTGGGGAAGAAGCCATGAGGGAAGATATCGTGAATTGAATCTGATGTGGTTAGTAATTTTGCTAATATGCGGATGATAATTTTAGTTTCGAGCAGTGGCCAAAGAAACTGAAGTGCTTTTATAGTGATTAGTTCTTCGGTGCCAACGGAAAACTCGTGATTGGTGTGCTGAATGAGGTTAAAAAGTATGTGATTGTTTTTAGTATTGTGAATGAATTCTAATATCGGGATTTCTATAGGTTGTATATATTCATGCGGGACAATGAGGGGTCGGGATTCTTCTACATTAAAGGTCTTGGTGAGTGAACAAAATATATACATTTGGGTTATCGGGTCGTAGTTTCTGAGGATGCCCTGGAAGTTAGTGCCTTCAATACAGTATGAGAAATTAAAAAAAAAAATGAAGAAGTGTACTTTGAATTAATAAACTGAAAATGATGGTGAGGTTGTCGTGAAGGTGTGTGTAAATTAAAAAGATTTTGAATGAATCTATAATATGTGTAAGTGTGCGTTTGCTTAGTTCGTAACATGATGTCGTGTGAACAAAGCAAATCTCGTTCTTTTGGAGTGAGGAAGTGAAAGGTCAGTGAAAAAGTTTGAAATTTATTGTAAAATGATTCATAAGCTTGGATGTCGATTAGTGCTTCGGAAATAATGTGGTCGTGTTTCTTATCTTGTGAGCTTAGTGTAAGGATGTAGGGTGTTTGGATTAAAACA